TGAATTTGACTGCTCTGGGTACCTCAGATTGGCTTACTTCACTTAACATAATGGTGTATCTTCAAGATTTCTCCACATTGTAACGTATCAGAATTTCCTTCTCTTTCTCTTTTTTTTTTTTTGGTGGTATTGGGGTTCAAAATCAGGGTCCCACGCTTGCTAGGCAGGTGCTCTACCACTTGATCCCCTTCACCAGCCAGAATTTCCTTTTTAACACTGAAAAATATTCCATTTTATATACATATCACATCTTGTTCACCCATTCATAGACACATAGGTTGCCCTGCCTTTTGGCCATGAACATAGATGTACAAATACCTGTTTGAGTCCTTGCTTTTCTATAACTAGAAGTGGAATTGTTGGATCATACATTCGGTGATTTTATATTTAGGGTTTTTTTAAGAAACTTCAATTCTGTTTTCCACTGCCACTACACATTTTACATTCCCACAGCAGTGTTCCAGCTTCTGCACATTCTCATCAACACCTCTGTTTTGTTTTGGCTTGATAACAGCTGTCTTACTGTGTGTGAAGTGTCCATAGTTACTTCAACTCATATAAATGCTTGTTGCTAACTACCAAAAACCTGATGAACACAAAATGCCTGGCTCTCATCTTAGTAGGCAGTTGATGCCAAGATGACAGCCCTAAATCTTGGGACCCAAAGAAACGTTTACTCCTTAAAGACCTTGCTGCTTAAAAGTTGCTTATTTTCAGTAATTTCTGGTTATTTCAGGAGCTGAGAGTATTCATTTTTGTGACTTTGTAAATGAATTTTGAATATTATACCTTAATTTTTGTTGCTATCCAAAAGGGGTTTTAAAAGCACCACATAATCAAAATTTGTAAGCCCAGAAAAATGACTTTTAGGTCTTTAAACTTTAAGTTTTTAAATTAAAAAAAAAAGTCTCAGTTAAAGAAAACTTACTAGTGTAAATTTTGTCCATAGCCATAGAAGTGAGTTTATCTGATTTTAAAAATTTCTTAAATTAAAAGATTGTATTTCATCCCTATCTCAACTGATACTACTTTTAAATAATATACCTCCTTTTACCGATTTTTGAAAAATATATTGAATGTTAATGATACATAAAACGCTATGTTAATTGCTGGGGGTGCATAAAGAGTAGCAACATGCATTCTCTGGAGAATACATGAGGGCTGGCAGAGTGGTTCAAGTGTCAGAGTGCCTGTCTGGCAAGCATGAGGCCCTGGACTCAAACCCCAGTACCACCAAATAAATATATGCTTATATCTGTAGATATGGATATCTATATATATATAACATATTGCTACTATGTCCAAGCCTATAGTACAGAAGTCATGTTCTTCAGTTGACGGCTCACTTGCTTTTCTGATTTTTTAAAGAAATAAGTAATCTTTGCATTATCCCAAATTCACTTCCTCTTTATTTCTGTATGTCATCTACTTCATTAAAAGGTATCTCGCTAACAACCTTACTCATGCCATGTTTTTCTCTTTTTTTTTTTGGACAAGAAAAAATGTTCTCCTTTCCTGCTTTCTTTTTTTCTGGTTAAGATATATTGCGCAAGTGTTTTTTCTTTTGTGTTTTTGTAGCAAACCATATCAATTCTATTGACTTGCACTGGTTTTGGTTTTTGTTTTTTTCATGTATAGACTTTGTAATCTCCCAAGGGAATTTCAGAAAGAAAACTACAGTAAGATTTTCTTGATCCATGTATATTTTCCTTTTCCAGTGTTGCACATTACGTCCTTTCTTCTTCTTAAGTTTTTTCTCAGAATGTTTTCTTAGAATTTCCATTCTAGGTTTAGTAAATTCTTACATTCATTGAAATTAACCACTGAAATTAGGACTTTTTTACTCCAATAGTTATTTCAATTGTGCTAGGATAACCGTCTTGAACTTTTGTTTGAGACTTCAAGTTGAATCTCTGCAGTTATTGCATGTTTTCAGTCCATGTTGTTACTTATTTAACATTGCTGTGTCATTAAGCATTGTCATTCGTTAATAAGTTGATGTCTAATTAATGCTGCTAATGAATTTTTATGTTTACATGCTCTAGTGTATTTTGATTTAGCTTATAAAGGATGGCCATATGACACCATCATCTTGAGTTATTTTGAGTGGTTTCTTAGCATAATTTTGTTAACACTTTTCTAATATGAAATATCTTCCAAATTCTTTATGAAAAGTACTGAACATAAGTCTTTCTTAGACTGCTCTATAGATTTGTAAATAACTTCTGACTTTGACCTGGTTTTACATTTTTAAAATTTCTTCTCTTTTTCCTTGTCTGATTTACTGGTTGAATTTCTGTCAGGTAATAGGTGAACAGTAAATAATTGTTGTGTTAAATGAGATTAGGTGCATATTAGAAAACTTCACTTGATAATTATGGCTTGCACATTGTTTGCTCTCTGGTTGGCATTACATAACTTGGTTTAGGAAGGATAAATTGTTAATAGAGAACAAGCCTCCTTCAGTTTTAGCTTTCCTGGTAGGACTTGGGATATGGCATATTTAATCTTCGGACTTGGATTTATCTGGAATTTATCCCTTGGCCTGAATGTTATTCTGTATTTGAGCCTTTGCCCAATTTTTTATTAAAATACTGCTTCAGTTCTTTTAGATACTTCTCTTTCCCTTCTTATACAATGCTGAACTCAGTTGATTTTCTATTTTTAATCATCTCAGCCTGTCAGTTTTTATGTATCAAATGAGCTGGATGTTCTTACAACATATCTGTGTTTTATGCAGTGAAGCCATGGCCATGCTGCACAAATGTGTGCATTGGGAAGCTGTCATTTGCTTGAAGGTTTAAGAGATTGTATTGGCTAAAGATGTGCTGGTCTGGTGGAGGGCTCAGTTATCTATATCTAAAGAAAACAAAAATGCACTTAGAAGTGTATTCATTTATAAAGATTAGTACCTCTTTTCTGAATTACAAGGTTTAAAGACTCCTATGTAGGCCAGGCATGGTGCTCACACCAGTAATCCCAGGTACTTGGGAGGGGGAACTCAGGCAAAAGCCAGCCTTGAACCCCCAGTAAACTGGGTGTAGTGGCATGCACCTGTTATCGCAGCTATGCAGAAGAGTAATTAGGAGAATCCCAGTCCAGGTCAGCTGGGCATAAATGCAAGACCTTATTCCCAAAATAGCGAAAAGCAAAAAGGGTTGGGGATGTTGGTCAAGTGGTAGAGTTCCTGCCTAGCACGTCCAAGGCCCTGACTTCAAGCTCCAGTGCCAAAAAACAAAAGGACATGTGTAAAATCATGACCACTTAACTTGTGCATTGAAATAATTGTGCAGCAATCTTACGATACCAGTGATTCAATCCTTCTAAGACATAAGTTAGAGACTAGGTATCTTTTTCATTACAGTTCCACATAATACCAGTGTGACAGTTGACTGATCTTTTTTATTTATGATGCGTTACCTTTTTATCACTGCTAAGAACGTCTTATTATCATGCATAGAAGAACACATATTGAAGAAAACAAATTTTGAGCCTTGTCTAAATCATGATCTTGATTTTGGTTTTCATCAAATTTTTTTTTAAACAGGACTTCGAGTACTTAAATTTTAAAGTACTTTTAGATATAATATGATGCTTAAAGTCCCAAATTCCTAGGCTTAGTTCTTATGTGATCTGATTGTTTTTGAATATCTTAACATAGGTGGAGTGCTGTTTACCTGTTCATATGAAAATAAACAGTTGGCATTTGAACAAGCATTTATTCAGGGCACAGTCAGTGTGTACCAGGTACTGGGTTAGACCATGGCTATAGGGAACGAAGATAGGTTTTACCTTCTTACCTTTGAGAAGTTCAGACTGGCTACTGTTTTGTGGGCTTATAATAAGTAGATTTAAATGTGCTAGTGTCTAGAAGAGATCTGTGTGTTAAATTCTGGGGAGACATAGAAAAGACCCAACTGTCTTCCAGCCTTGGAAAGTTGCTCCAGGGTGACTTTTACACTAAGTACTGATCTTGCATCTGACCTTATCTTATCAAGTGGCACTTTGTGCTATATTCAAATGAAAATAAATTGATTTAAAGTGTTATAAGAGTTCCCCTTTATAAACTAAAATAGTGCTTCAAATAAGAAGGATTTTTTTGGTTGGTGTTTTGGGATTGTGGGGGGAAGCTAGTTTGGTTATTTTTGAGATGGGTTCTTGCTTTATGCCCTGGCTGGCCTAGACCACGATTCTCCTGCAGGAGTGCACCACCATGCCTAGCTATTTGTTGAAAAGGTGTCTGTACCTTTTTGCCCAGGCTGTCTTCAAATGGTGATCCTCCTCATCTCCGTCTCTCGAGTAGCCAGTATTACAGTTGTGAGTCACTGGGAAAAAAGGCCACTTCATTCTTTCCTTGGTTGTTGAAAAATACGTTTGTTTTTCTCAAAAAGGTGTTTGAGTGGAGCACATATTGTTCATTACTTTGAATTTTAATTATTAACACTGGACAACTCATTCAGGTGAAATGTTTAAATAGTTGACAAATTCCTTCAATATTCATTTGAAGGTTTGCTATTTTGCTCTTAAATATTCCTAAAATTCTTTCAGTGCAGTTTTTAATCTTGTACCAGTTTACATTTGTAATTTACTTTAAAAAGAGCCTCCAGGTATATATCTTTAAAAATTAGTTACCTACACAAAGTCAGTAGTAGAAATATGTGAATGTGTATATATACATAATTATTTCAGATCCTGTAAACAGTTAAATTGGATTTCTTGCTGCTTGTTCTCTGATCATTTTTGCTTCATTATAGCTAGAGAATGTTTATTTCAGCCTTTTTCTTTCTAAAAATTGATGATTTACAAATATTATTTACAATAGCAGTAGCTACAAATGAAACTTGCATATGTCATTTGGAAAAGTTCCCAGAAAATACTCAAATAATAAAAATGAGGACTACAAATATATCTTTTATTGTTGGAAGTCCTACCATGCTTTTTTTTAAAGAACATATAGCAATACAGATTTATTTGGGGTCTGGGGTTTCTTTTTCAAATAATCTATATTGATGTATTATGTGTACTATAATACTCTTATTCTAAATATTTCATTTTGTACTGTTAGGATCTGCAGTTAGAATATGGACAAGGACATCAAGGAAGTTACTTTTTAGGAGGAAACAAGTAAGTAAAGTTCTTTTGAAATTTAATTTAAATTGAAAGTAATTGAAGTTGCCTTTAACGTTATATTTTAATACTAAGTTAGTAAATTGTATTGAGCTGGTAGGTGTATTTTATATTCCCCTTAACTTCTCCACAGTCACGTCCCTGCTTGTACTTTATAGCTAGTAATTGTTACAATGTGGGGACACCTTCAATTTTTTTGTATCAAGCTACTTTGCTGATCTTACTTGCTATAGAATACCAAGTATGATCCAACTGAAATAAATACGGCAATTTGTTTCTTTTCTAAAGTGGACCTGTTTTTCTTTACAAAACTGGCTTTAGTAATTTTCCAAATGTGCTGGCCACTGGAAGCAGCTGGAATTATTCACAATATTTAAAAATCTTCATCTTAACTCTTTAACTATTAGTCTTTCTTAAAGTTGCTAGTGGCTAAAACGTGTTTGACTTTCTCATGCATGAAATAAATTTAGTAGTTAGTCCATGCCTCCTCTACACCAGGCACCTTCTAGGTGGTAGGAGCACAGTGGTGAAGAGAGAGTTTGAACTGTAGTTTACAAACTATAATTTAAGTTGTTCATACGTCAGCTAACAAGATAGCAGAGTCCTGACTCTACCCTTCCTTTAAGGGCCTCATTTCCTGAGTTCATGGATGAATTATCATAGTAAAAGCTAGTTTATAGTGGAATATTACTTAATTTGCCAAAATCTTCCACCGCAACTGAAAATTTCAAAATGTAGTTTCATTTACATTAGCGAGTCGAGACACATATATTCCTGTATTTTAAGTTAAGCAATTGAGAAATAATGATAAGCAATAAATAGCTTGGTTTTAAAGAGAATAATGCAAAATAATGTCTTCCTCTCTTTTTAAAATATTTTTTTACTTAGATATACAATCTTTTCTCAATACAGAGAAAATGCTTTGAATGACAGCCTAAACACCAGTACATTGATTTTTGATTTAATCTGAATTTCAGTTAAATATAAGGGATTTATTTTTTACTATTATTATTATTATTGGCCTTGATAATATTAAGCCTTTATTATTAACATCTATCTATCTTTCTTAAAATGGAAAATAAGTGTAAAATTTCCTTGGTAGAAAATGCAGTTTTACTTAAATGTTTGCCATTTATCACTTGATCTAGTTTGTTGGTGGACAACAAAGAACAGTTCATCTCGTTGTAGGTTAGCAAATAAAAAATGTCACTGTTTTTGTATTATTTTTTCTACATATGAGGCCACTGGTTTTAAGGACCTTATTACCAAATTTTGATAGATTTTAAGAGATTGAATAATTTGTAAATGACATTTGATTTTACCTGTTGTAGGTTCATTTAAAATATATATTTGAATTATGTACTTGGAAAATATAAAATAATGGGCCCATCACTACATGCTTTTCCAGATTCCCGAATTCCCATTGTCTGATTTCTGATTATTAGACATTTTCATAGTTATATAGTTACTTTGGCTAGGTAAAATGTTAATAATTTGCCCAACCTTCATTTTCTGATTAATTGGATCCCTGCTTAAGGAACTGTATTCTATATAACGAATCATTGGCAAGGTAGGTTGGCCAAAAGTCTGACCTTTGGCTGTGTTGCGTGTGTAGGTGTATACATACATGTGACATGAGCATGGATGTAGCACTTCTCTTACTGTATTGATATGTCTGCTTTATTCTTGTGACTAGGCAGTGTTTTAAAACTCACAGGATTTCCTGCTTTCTCCATAGGTGATCAGGCAGACAGATTTCCATTGATGGGTTTCTAGCTACTCCAGATCATGCAGGACTGTCCAACTACAATTGTGACATAGGAACTTTATTTTTCTAACAGAAGGCATGTGTTTAAATTTAAACTAGGTTGCCATATTTTCTTTTGGATTCTGGTATCATTGGGATCTACTCTTGTAGCTGTTTATTGAAAAGTCAACAAAATATTTTTAAAGGAAAACTCTGATGTTGTTTTTAATATAGAGCAAAAGTTCTGAAGATTATTCTAACAATAACAGTGAAGAGAGTACATTGAAGTACATAGTTCCTAACACAGTTGTGTATATTAGTGGCAATGCCATACCTAGTCAGAATTGGCCCTTGACTTTGAGAAACCTTTATATCATTATCTGTTGTAAAATGGGAATTATAATAGTACCTGCCTCATAAGGTGCTAAGGATGAGCTGAAATAATCATTGAGAAGCATTTAGCACACTTAGGGCTTAGTAAATACTTATTAGTGCCCTTATTTATAATAATTACTCAGTAAATAATTACTGATTGTATTAGGAAGTGAATAATATAAATGAATGGATAAAACTCTTTAGTTTTAAAGAAGAGTGAGTTTGTTACTTTTAAATATGATCAGGGAAGTATACAGATTGTCAGGATATTTTAAAAGATTTTCCTAACTGCAGCTAATTCCTTAGCTAATTCAAATCTGCTGAATATTTTGATAGCAGTTTTAGACTTCTTCTATGTCAGTTCTCTGCTTCCTCAGTTAAATCAGTGTATGCACATTGTTCCATGTTTAACTTTTTCATCAAAATTTCCATGATTTTAGATTTAGTAATTCAATTTTATTGTTTTGTTTCTCATTTTGTGACAATTCCTTAATAGAAGAGTTCATGTAGACTAGTGAACAGTGATATTTCTTGTGCACTCAATCTTGGTGTACAGATCAGTATCACATTTTCTCCAACACTCTCCAGATACAGCATTTACTGTTGATGGACCTTTTAGCAAATTTAACCAGGTTTTGTTTTCTTTTATTTTAAAAGCCCAAAAAGTAAGCCATACAGCCTGCTTTTCGTTAAAACTTTATGAATTCTATAACCCTATTGACAAAATATCTTAACACAGTAGTAAGATTTTTACAAATAAAGGATAAAAAAAAAATACATGATTTCCTAAGCCGTAGCTAGCTGCCTTTCCACATTCTCTTATTCTGTTTTTCTCTTAAAGTTGGATATCCTCCAGCAGAATTCCTTTTTAAAAAGTATAATGCCATATAAAACCAATTAAATATGGTAACTCAAAAGTAAACCTACATTTTAAATTCCCTTCCTGTTTTCAAATCCTAATAGACTCTACTAGTGAAAAAAAAATACCTTAGAACATATTGTCATGTGATTAAGAAAAGATATTTTTCATGTCACCTAAAATAATACGAAAGCTCACTGTACAGCCCAGAAGACACAATGTTTATTTGGTAAAATGGTTTAGAGCACTGCTTCTCAAGTTTTCGGCCTCAGGATCCCTTTGCAATGTTAAAAAGTACTGAGGCCTCCAAAGAACTTTGGTGTATTGTCCAGGATTTGTAGTACTGGAAATTAAATTGAGGAATTTTTCAAAATTCCTACTAGTTTTTACATAATATATTCATATATGTTCATAAGTGTCATGAATGGTTTGTATGATTAAAATTGGTTCTTTCTAAAGGACTGATTGTAATGCTACCTCATTGCAGTACCTTCCCTTCAATACTACCACTCTCAGCAAATATTACGTATCACTGCAGTACAGCAAACGTTTTAGTGAGGCTCACTAATGTATTTTTATGAAAAATAGCTGTTTTTTCCTAACAGTAACATCATGATGTCGTTTTACATTTTTTTACAAATCCCTTTCACATTGACTTGCTAGAAGACAGCTGTATTCTTAATTCTCATGTCTGCTACTGCATTTTATCGGTTGTTATATCACATATCTTATAATTTCTGGAAAACTCCAATATACACTCCTAGGAAAATAAGAGTAGAAAAAGTATGTATTGTGAAAATAATTTGACAGTTGCAGACCCCATACAGGAGACTAAAAGACCTCTAGGATCCCTGGACCACAATTTGCTAGTTTAAAGAAATGTTGCTAACTGGGTGCTGATGGCTCATGCCTGTAATCCTAGCTACTTGAGAGGCTGAGATCAAGAGGATCATGATTTGAGATCCACCCTGGCAAATAGTTTGAGGGACATATCTCCAAAAATAATCAGAACAAAATGGACTGAAGGAGTGGCTCAAGTGGTAAAGTACCTGTTTTGCAAATGTGAAATCCTGAATTCAAAATCCAGTCCCACACACACACACACAAATGTTGCATAATCAGTAATAACAATGAACACACTAATCAAGTACTTGCTGTGTCCTAAATTACTCTCTTAAGCACGTTGATGCTTACAGTCACTGTCTTAAAACACTCTGATATAAGTACTGCTATAACTCCTCTTTTGCATGTAAGGAAAAACTAAAGCTTATCAGTTCAAATCAAAGTAACTTACCCAAGGCCACATGGGTAAGTTAGCAGCAGTCTTTGCTTCAAAACCTATCGTCATTTTTCGATACTGCCCTTAGCCAAAAGCTCCTGCCTTCCTAAAGCTGGCTCTGGGACAGCCTTGTGAAAAGGTACTTGACTGTGTTACCTTAATATTTCCATATAGAAAATAGTATTTGCAGTTAGTTTAAGGATTTTCTATGTTATCATTCCAGAGTCATTACTTTTGTCATTTTTTAAAAAACAGATTATTATTAAGCTGGCCTAATTAAAATATTTGATGGAAGAGCTGGCAGAGTGGCTCAAGTGGTAGAGTGCCTGCCTAACAAGTTCAAGGTCCTGAGTTCAAACCTCAGTACTCCCCTCCAAAACAATTTTTGATGGCTGAAAGCTATTCTATTAATTGTTTGTAGTTGATAACCATGCCTTTTAGTTCCTCTATGTCTTGATAATTCAAAGAACAGTATTTCCCAGTATATATTAGGAGGTAAAAATGTTTAGAAAGTAATGTCTTATGATTTTTAGGGAGAGTAATTTCCTATTGCATCACTTTCATCCCAGTAATTTATCAGTAACTGTATTTCTTTCTGTCCCATTAGCTTTGAGAAGGCTATTGAGTTTTAAGCTTGAAGAGTGTAATATAGGAAGAACACTGCATGAATTTGCAGTGTGAAAAGAAGTGAGGGAAACTTCTGGAATGTCCTCAGTTCTCTCTTAGGTTCCTGAAAATTAAAGTGTTCTATACTGCTCCTAATGGTAAAATCCTCACACCTGGTCTGATACAGGCTTAGTCTCCCAAAAGTGTAAATGTGTTTGCCAGTGCACCACTGGAGAACAAATCCTTCAGGTAAGTGAGTGTCTTCTGTGAAAGCAAAGTGCTGCTACATTCATGTATTCACATCACATGCATGCATGCTTCTGCAGAGAGACCCAACATGTGGACTTTCATTTTGTAGGATTGCCTGAGAGCATGATTTTTTCCAAAGTGTGTCACCTTCCTTACTTTAAGAAAAAGAAAATATAATTTCAGGTGTCAGGTATAATTTTCCAGGTAAAATTTGAATCCTGGAAACCCCTGACTGTGACCCTGCAATTATTGTTTTGTCAGTACTGTTGTGACATTTCATGGTGACTTGTCTTCTGTTTGAATTGGTACTTTTCAATAAACATTAGGATTTATTTTGTTCATTTAGAATACACATAAATAAAGACATTAGCAACAGTAAAAAGATAACTCATTAAATATAGCTTGATTTTTATTGTACAGAGATGATTTTTGTAACAAATTTTCACTCAATGGTAAAAACAATCATTAAAAATATGAGTAAGGATTCAGTGATAAAGATATATAGTTTATATTCTTTAGCATATTTGTTCACACTTCTTTGATTTTGTTTTCTTTTTAAGGAGTCTTCTGAAGTCTGTTGAAGAAGAATTACATCAGCGGTAATCTTGATTTTTAGTTAAGATTAAAATACTTTATGTCACAGATTAGTTAAATCGTGTTGCCCTTCCTCATGTGTAATTGTTTTGTTTTAATTAGCAATCTTCTATAAAGATAAAGAAATACAATTCTGTCCTGCAGTAGAACTTTCTGAATTTTATAAGATTTCTTGGCTATTTTGATAAAGTTCATTTAATAACAAGGGCATTATCTTTTTTACTTTAGAGGACATGTGGCACATTTAGAAGATGATGAAGGGGATGATGATGAATCTAAACAGTAAGTCCTGTTTCTCTTTTTGGCCAAAAAAAAAAGAAATACAGATATATATATATATATATCATTTGACCTAATTGCATAAAACCAGCAACTTAATATTGTGATCATTTAAATATGATGATTAGCACAGTATTGTGGGCTGTCTCACCATTTATTTCTTCTATTCCAGTTGTAGTAGTCAGATTAGGCTTTGCTAACCAAATTCATAAGACTAGGTGATTAAACAAAAAAATTTATCCTCATTCCAGAGAAAAATTTTTCTTTATACTTCTTTTTTTTTTTTTAGTGGTACCAGGATTTGAATTCAGGCCTTACACTTGCTAAGCAGGAGCTCTACAACTTGAGCCACTCCACCAGCTCTAAAAAAATTTAAATTGTAGTTTAGTCAGTAATTGATAGCTGCTGTAATTATTACTATAGCTAAAGGTTAGTATGCATTAATGTTAGTTTAGTTTTTTGGAGTTTGTTGGTTTGTTAAGAAAGAAATTTATAATTTCAAGGTAGTTAGTAGCACCTAACTAACATGAAGGCATCTTCGCCATCATCTACTACTCTGATTCTGGGTCAAGGTCATTTAACTGGTCTAGACCTCCATATCCTCATCTGAAAAGTTCTGCTCAATCAGCATTTTTGCTGTAGTTCTACCACTTGAGTCACACCTAGCCCTTAGTCATCATTTAATTCCTTCTATTTCTAAAACTCATCCTGAGTTGTAATGAATCTTAGCTTCATTCAAATATTTTTGTTTTGTTTTTTGTTTTTTTGTTTTGCAGGACAAGAGTTTGCACTCAGGGCCTTCACCTGAGCCAACTCCATCAACCCTTTTTTGTGAAAGGTTTTATCAAGATACTGATCTCTGCCTCCTGATTAGCTAGGATTTCAGGCGTGAGCCACTGGCACCCGGCTCATTCAAATATTACCTATCATTTTGTAGAGCCCATATACCCCAGCATCACAAGAAAACAGAAGCAAAAATTTTTCATCATAGAGTACATGTGTAGCTTGTTGATGAACTTCACAAGAGATTTCATAGCTACCAGTAGCAGAACATGAAGCTGGCAACATGACATATTTTAGCCTTATCATCGCTTCTTAAACCAACTACTGTTTGCATTCTTATTACTTTTTAATGAAATAGACTGGAAATTAATAGTGAGCTTTCTAGTTTTAATTACATAATTTCATTATAATATTTGAAACCAAGAAGGCTGTCAACCCAATTTACTTCTGAATAATACCTCCTTTAATATAACGTAAATTTCACAAAATATTTTTGTAAAAATCCTCATAACCTTAGAACATGGTACTTGTTTTTGCAGGTTTTTCTTCCATATCTTGAAGAAATATTATGTATTAGTAATGATTCACTTATGAAAGAAAAGTTCTGGATTCTGTAAACTTTTTGTGTTTTTAGTTCAACCATGAAAGCAAAAGTTCCACCACCTTTGCCCAACAAGTAGACAAGTTTATTCTTTACTTTGAGTTCTGTGTGTGTCACTGTTCTGCATGTGAATCTGTAATGTTAGTTATACTCTAGCTTCCTTTCATTTGGGGTCCAAAGAAGAATTATGAAGTTGCCATGATATAGAAGAAAGTTTTGTCTTTTTAAAATATTCAACTTGCCATTTAATGGTCATTCTAAGTAATAAGTTCTAGAAATCTGTACATTAAAAATAATTGCATTAATGGATTAGTGCTATTTCACTAGGTTAGGAAACTCGCTTTTTTGTAATTTTTTTTTTCTTAAAATCTGCAATCTACTATTAACTGTTTACTGAGAATAGATAAAGAATAGTAATTTATTCAAAAGATATTTAATTTTAGAAGATAATTACAACAAAATACAAATTTTAACAACAAAATTCCTTGACCAGTCATCATAAAATAATAAAATAAGTCCAACTATTAGTTTCTTAAAGTAAAATGAGTTAATATAGGTAGTGGTATACAAATTTACAAAATTTAAATTTACAAAATTTTTATTTGAAATTCATATGTTTAGCAAGTTTTAAAGTTTGAAATCAGGGCATTATAAACGAGAGTAGGAATCATACCAGTTTTGGCATCTAATTTATTGCTATATTTTGTTTTCATTTTATACTACTGCAAAAAATCTTGATTCATACAAGTAAATGATGCTGTACTTGCTTGCTTAATTTTGCATTAGAGGAATATAGAGAACTGAATTTCAAGGATAATATCCTGAGCAATCTCATAATAAGGGATCATTATAAGGATTTATAAAATTCCCCACACCTTCAGCTACCAGAGATTTTTCCATTCTTGACACACAAGTTGGCTAGGCATCCCATATTACTCTGCTGGTATTCTCCAGTGTGAGAACATTTTAATTGGTATCTTCTGCTGCCCATATGCTGAAAGATTAAGCATTAATCTAAGGATTAACTGAATATTTAAGTAAAAAGAATTGATGTAAGTTGGAAGATGTAAGAAAGACTAGAATATTTTTTATGGGTTTCTCTGTCTCTCTCTCTCTCTCTCTCTCTCTCTCCTTCTCTGCTGCAAAACAATACAATTTTTAGGATATTTTTTGAATAGTGATATTAAATAGTCTGACTTGGATAATTAAATAGCCTTAAAACTCGCCTGATGAATACAATTTGAAAATCTCTAAAATGTAGTATAATATTTACTTTAGGAAAATAATTTCATATTTAACCACTGGTTTCCTTTTCTCTCTTATTTCAGCCTAAGTCCTCTTCATCCCACAGGAAACCCACTCTACTGAAGATGATAATCAATGGAACACAAGAGATGTCCTCATCGGGGAGCCCAGCAAGCCATCCCAAGTTCCTCCTCGACCACCACCTCCCAGATTAACCCCACACAAGCCTGTTTCTTTAGGTAATAGTGAAGGGCAAGTCAGATATGTTGCCAGGTATTCAGACTATGTGGAAAAAAGTGGCAAGAACTCTTCAAAAAATATTTGAAGAGAGGATAGGAACAATGGGCTATGGAGATGTTTTCTGCTTTTTACTTCATGGGTTCAAAATGTTT